TTGGTACGTTTGACATTATTATTATTATTATTATTATTATTATTATTATTATATATTAAATTGAATTAAAATATTAAGATAGTTTCATTCAAATTTGTATCTTAATGCAGGCAGTTTTTCTAGAAAAGTCCACTACGAACTACATGTCATTGAACCACTGACCAATAAAAAGGGTTGGCTATTTATTAATTCCCTTAAAATAAATTACAGACATATTCAACATAATCCTCTTGTTCATTTTGAATTGGTTGTTTTTTTTAACATTTGCAAATAGATGGAATCTTTTTATGTGGGAATATTGCTTGAAAAATACATGTACAACACATATGTGTATAGAAATGTTGATGACGTAGACCCCATTCTTCTCCCTGACACCACCTTGCAGATTTGCAGTTTGCTGAATTTGTTGACATCTACTGCCCTGAGACTACTTACCCAGCATGCAACAGAACACCGTATAAGACAGCTCTGACAACCACAGTCTAATAAAACATGGAAGTGTCTGACAGTTGTTGTAGGTCCACAGCTGCCTTAGTCACTGTTCTCAGTCCAGTCCAGTTTATTGTCAGTGATGACACCAAAGTACTAGGACCAGACCCAGACCCAGGACCAGACCCAGGACCAGACCCAGACCCAGGACCTTCTCAGGTCTACAACAGGTTTCTTAGTCTTTGATGTGGATGTCCATTGGAGAACAGTTTTTAACAACACAAACAATGTTCCTGTGCTCATTCTTTATTAAGAACATCGAACACGAACATTTTTTAGCAGTTTAACACTCGTTCCTCTCAGAGCAGAGAATGGAAAATGGAGCTGGAGGAGAATAATTCAAACTAATTGTCTCATTGTCTCCCAGTGTAATAAATTACAACACATATTTTCCCAAGGCACCTTTTCATTCAGCTCACTGATTGTCCTAATTGCCAGTGGGCCAGTGTGTCACAGAAAGACAGCAGAGAGCTGCAGGAAGTCTCCTGTTGCTCTTAATTGTCAGAGTAAATGAAACCCACTGATAAATAAATCACTTGTCGGCCGGTTGAAAACTGCTGTTTCTTGCGTGTCACACACCCGCCTCGGCTTTTTGTTCCGTCTTAAGTGATTTTTTTTTTCCACCAGTGGCACCACTTTCACCCCTTAAGAATAACATTATTATCACGAGCATGAAGAGCACCACAATTATTCACAGCTCGTTTTTTCTCAACTTAGGAAATCACCTTGAAAATTGGGCAGGCCTGCAGAGTGTTTGCCACTTAAGTCAGCACTCTGTCTCTGTGTGTGTGTGTGTGTGTGTGTGTGTGTGTGTGTGTACATGGAAACTCCATGTTAGATCTATGGTCCGTAACATAAACCAATTTCCAGCAGTGTTTCTTGTGTAACGTGTGAAGTAACAATAACAAAAAAAAAGGACATTTTTTATATTCTCATGATCCAATTGGCTGAAACCTTCTCACTGATTCTAGAGTGATGACAGTTAGGGTTCGGTCAGAGCTGGTTTCCTTCTGGTGTATCTGTTCGTCTGTTCACCAAGGATCGTGGTTGAACTGTTGTCATACTGCAGAGATGACGGTTCTGACCTCAGATGCCTGCACGGCTGGGTTTCATTGATTTTTCTGAAACACTTTTTTTTTTTTTACTACACTTTACACACATTTCTTTTGCTCTCCTCCACTCTGTCATCTCCTATAGTGCAGACTGTTGTACTTTTACTGCGCTTCAGTACTCTCTGCTGTACTTTACTGCTCTTTTTTCCCAGCTCTTCTCTGCTTCACTCTTTCGTCCGTTGATGTTTCTGGAATTTATACAGCTTTGAAGCGTATTCAGCGACGCAGTTTCAAAATGACAGAAAGACACTCTTGTACTGTGTGTTTCTAATGTCCTTACAACCTGCTCTGTTGAGTGAAGTGTTGGTGTCTATCACAACGTCATACGGTTGTGATGAAAGCACTTTTCCTGCAGCAAAAACACAGAGAGGTTTTAGAGACACTGGCACTGAATGATTTCTAGGTTTGAATATTGTCCCTCTGATGTGGACGTGGGAGAATTATTCTGCCTATTGATTAATAATAGTATTTGACGCTCTTAAAATTTTAAGGATTTTTTGCTGTGGGTCTATACAACTGAGAGACCACTGTATAACAATGTGCTGTAAGACTGAACTGCTGGTTTTTGTTACCAATAGCAAATGGAGTTACTCTGTTCTGTTCTGTCAAGACTTAGAATAATGAACAGCTTAAACCGTGGAGACCCAAAGTACGTCCCGTGGATCAAAAAAATGAATCTAGTGGCCGACTGTTGGATTAAACCTACGGTGTTAAAAATATAACGTAGGAATTATGTTATACTTTATAACACCAATGATATATTAAATAATAAGTCACACAATTAGACATTGTAAATATATATTGACACTAATCTGTATATATGTCAAACTATATTTTTCTACTTATATACAGTACTGTACATTGTGTGACCAAAACCAAAAAGTGATTTCTTATAGAAAACAATAAATCATAAACTCTAAGTTCATAACTTTTCCCAAAGGAGGGACGGTGGCCCAGTGGTTAGGGATTGTCGCCTAGTACTCATTAGATCCCTGGTTCCACACCACCCTCCACCCTGAGTACCAGGAGTCAGGAAAGGCATCCAGCACATAAATGTTCCCAAATCCCTGTGCAGACTTCTCCTGATGAAAGGACAACCTGAAAGTGATTCCTTCTCCATTCCACACATAATGTGTCATGTGGACATGAAGGAGCTTTTCACTTCAGTCAAACACAGGGGGAAAAACCTTTTCCCTTTTTTCTCCCGCCACTTAATGTGCCCCCAGTTACACGTTGTTTACAGGAGAGAGTGAAGTTGTATTCCTTAACTTCTGGCACGGTATCACTTTACCCCAGATTCAAAGCAGAGATCTTCCAGCTATAAGGAAATGATGTCATATAATACAAAGAGGGAGTCCGACTCAAAGGCAGGGTCCACTTAGAAAAAAAAAAGGAAAAAAGCCACTTGTTGACAAACTCTAGAAAAAAAGCGGAAACGTGTTACCCCCTCGAAAACCATTGAAGCGCACGGCTAATGACTCACAGCGCTGTGTGAACATACACAACCCAGATGACTCACTGTCTACTTCCACCTTTGTCCTGTTGCATTTATTTTTCAATTCCATCCGGTGCACATAGTTCCTTAAAAAAAAAAAGTCTTCATCCGATGTATGGACTCGATGCAACCATGTGTCTGTGAGTCGTCTGGGTGAGGGTGATAGCGTCAGGGCCTTCACAGTGCTGTCACGCCTCATTTTAAAGTCTTTTATCAGGATAATGGCATATAATCATTTACGTACACACATAAATAGGGGATGCTGTGCATCATCCAGACAGATTTCCAATACTCTGTAACAGATTTATGGAGTGTGTGTGAGTCTGGGTTCTATTTATCTCCCAAACAGAGCTTAACATGTCACAACAGCCAACTTCACTGCGTTTCTACACATTATTAAGACCATGATGAATTCCTACACAGTACTTTGCCATATTTGGAGAATATATATGTTGGTTTTTTTTTGCTCATTAAAACACCCTGATCATGTTTGCTGTATTAAGATACTGGAAGACATCTTTGATTACTGATACCAGGTGGAATCAAACCTCCCTACAAAGAAAATAAAAACTAAAATCTGTGATTTGGAAACTTTATCAAAACATCATAATTCACTTCTACTGACCAACCCTCCTCTCTTTGGTAACCTGAAGAGGCTGTTTCAAGACCAAATAAAAACTCTAGATCACTATGATCACTAAAACTAAAACTGGAAAAGATATATATATATATATACATATATATATATATATAGACACAGTTATAGATATATAAGTCCTAGTATAATTTATTTTTACAAAACATTACTCTACTTTAATTTGTGTACTGGTCAATACTCTTTTTTGAAGACTCCTCTTTTTCACTTTTTTACCCAAAGTTGAATAGAAACATGTTATAATTTCAAAGGCCTTGCACGAGTTTTGATCTAGCACCATCTGACCAGAAGTATATTTGTAAGAAACTCAATTTCACTCCTTAGACACATCCAGATTTTTGTCCCAGGACTGGTCCACCCTTGTTAATTCAAGCTGAAATCGCTTCCACCTAATAATTAAAACCCTGGTTAATGATGTAGAGTTTTAGGTCGTGTTCAAGGCTCAGTGACACAGTCGTGCAAACCTCCACACTTTATTATTTGCACACTTGCAATGACAGCAGGAACAAAAGTCTGTGTCAGGTCGGTGATTCACTGCTGCTGAATGTGCTCTCGTCCTCATGTGTTGCTCCTTAGGAGCTCGACCACTCAAGCTGAGCTTGACACAATCTTGATTTGGTACAATCATCGCTTGACTTTACAATCGCAGCAGTTTTTAGTTCACGGCAATGATTAAGAACTTAGTGAAGTGTTTTTTTGATTTATTTACTTTTGTACTTTTTCATCAGACTTTATTGTGTTCCTGTTGAGTGTTACGGCATCAAAGAGACAAAACTTTTCTCGCCTTTGAACTGGAGACCAGAGACAAGAGTTGGAACAATTATGTGAAGCAATGAAGTCATTAATGTGGCAAGTGGACATTCCACTGATGACTTTGGAGTAAAGCTGTCAGTGTCCCTGGTGTTGGCTCACACGTGCACGAGCACACACTGAATATCTCTCTCTCTCTCTCTCTCTCTCGCTCTCTCACATACACATTGTTCCCTTGGGATCTCAGATTATTCATGAGTCTTATTATGGCCACGGTTTTCAGTTTTTTTTTTCTTTTGATGTGTCATTGTGTTTCCCCTGGCCTCTTGGATCTTTTTTTTAAAGTCCCCCACCCTCACCCCCACCTCCCCCGTACCTTACAGACTCACATCATCTTCCCACCTCCATTCTCCATTTCCAGCATCCCTCTCTTTTTTCTTTTTTTTTTTTTTTTTTGCTCTTTGTAATGCCATGTTCTGCATTTGTCCAATTCTCCCAGGAATCCTTTGTCCCCTGGACCTGAGGAGGTGCTTCCACCTGCAGGTTCTGGGATCCAGATTCCCACAGAGGAATGACAGCGTGGTTGTGCGTGAGAAGAGACGGCCGTTTGTAAATTAGTTTCCAGGTTTGTTTGTTTTACTCATCCATGTGTGCCTGTGTGCAAGGCAGCAGCTGAATGCTGACTGTGTGTGTGTGTGGGTGTGTGTGTGTGTGTGTGAATCCCCTTCCCAATAGCAGAGAACGTGCATCTGTAGCCTTACCCACTTTGTCACTGTGGCACCTATTGGTGTGTGTTCTCCCTCCGTCCCCCTGACCCTCCCCCAAATGATTACCAAATGAATTCAGATGCGCTGCCACTCGATCAAAGCCTTAAATTCCACGTAGGTTTCCTCCTGCTTCTCCATCCAAGATGTATATGCAGATTGTGCATGAGCTCTTGTGAAAATAAAGGCACTTATGGTGAAGGGTCTGAAACGTCTAGTGAAGTGGTAGACTGTGCGGCCTAATTAACATGCCAAAGGTGTTAACTGGCAGCTGGCAGCAGTCAAAGCAGTAGCAGGTGAGCACCGCTGCTTGTTGAACTGAATCGCACGAGGAGTCACGGGAGGCTTGTTCGGCATCCATTTGCAAATCAATGCCCACGGCTGGAGGTTAATTTGGATGTGAAGGTGTCTGACATTATGTTTCCTTCCTCTTTCACAGGGTTAAAGCACCAGCTTAGCTCCTCTCCTCTCTATTTACCCAGAGTATTTGTCTACAACATCGGTCCGGTCACTGCAATTACTCGGCTTCTACGATACCTTTTTGAGGTACTGTATATTTTCTTCAGTGTTTTTTTTTTAAAATATATTGTTTTAGTCCAATGTATATGCTTTAAATCAGGTGTTCTAATACAAACAGCACATATTGAATCAATATATGATCTCCAGCAGTCAGGCCACCACTCAACAATTTAATATGAATATATAAATATATATGTCAATGCATGAGCTGCCATTTAATTAAGACACCTACAGTTTTATTAATAAGGTTTTAAAAATGTGTCCATTAGACCACGGTTTCACAACTTTTTTTTGAGCCAGTTGAATGAAAATGCTGATGAACTCGCAGGAATTGAAGAAAGACACATGGAAATTATTAATTTATTATTTTTTTTTTTCACCTGTCAGTGTTGTCTAAAATTAGAAAGACTTGTTTGTTGTTTTTGTTTTCACCACAAATAAATAACCGTTCTTGGATTTAAAAAAAAGATTTCCCATGGTGCACCTGATGATCCATCAAGGTCCACTGCATTGCACACACTTGACCGATTCTGTCTCACACACACACAGACACTTGAGATGTTTTACTGATAATAGTAAGCTGTCTTTATCTTTAAATGTTTGGTCAACATTTATCTGTATACCCATATTGAATATATTATGCATTAATATTAATATCATATTTTTTCTTCTGGCTTCTCCTCCTTTTTCCTCCTTCTGTTCCTCCTGCGTCATGGAGTCGTTTACATGTCACTTACATGTTTCCACGGACATGGAGTCCCATTAATCTGTCTGGTGAAAAAGGGGGAGAAGTAAAATTAAATAATTATAGCTGGACGAACTCAACCTGTCCCTAACACACACAGACGCACGCACTTCCCAAACCGCTCCACTCCACAGCCCACAGCCTGCGGTCGAGATTTACGTCTTTTTTCTTTTTCTTTTTTTTTTTTTGTTAACGTCCACATGACTTACAGCTGCGTGTTCGTCAACACTGACGCGTCTGTGACTGTGTGTCTGCCTTCATTACCAACACAGAACGACAACTGACGTTTGGAGCACTCTCACCAAATGACGCTGCGTCAGTGACGCACTGACTGGTTCAGAAAAAGCGAGGTTTAAAATATTTAAAATTATGGAATTACGGAAATAATTTCTGTGTATATTGAATTTTGAGATTTGATTCAATAAAAAGTTAAATCAATATTTATTTTTAAAATGAGTGAAATGAGAAGTACCTTTGTTCACCCACGTTAGACGTAACGGCGCAATCAAATCATAAAAAAAATAAAAAACACAAACAAAATTGCTGAATTGATTAAAATCACATAAACATATTTAGACGTTCATTAGGCGCTGATCTGAATAAGCGTGTCGGTGTGTGTGTGTGTGTGTGTGTGTGTGTGTGTGTGTGTGTGATGGATCAGTGAGCTCTGCTCCTGAATATCCAGGCGTTAACAGCGCAGCACGGTTTAGATCTGACTCCAGGTCAGCTGTGCGTCTGCCGTCCTGATGAAAACAACCTGTAACATGTGGTCGAAGACCTTGTGGAGAAACCTCCTGGTGAAAGGCAACAAATGGAACTCGTGATAAGAAAAAAAAAATCGTAGAAAACAAAAACCTCTGAAACTGTTTGGCAAACGGATATTGAAATGCTATAATAAATAAACCAAAACTGCTGACGCAGGTCTTCAGAGTTTCTGCACAACTTTGATGTGATGCATAAATGTGTTCGGTGAACACACACACACACACGGTTACATTCGTCAATTAGCCCGTACCTCCCACCACGACGCAGCCCCACATGAAGTTTTACCAGAAACATATTCGGTGGAGTTGGTGGGAAAACAAAGCATCCATTTTTAAACAGATTTTTCATCATCTCCACTGTTCGACATGAATATTTCACTCGTGGCGCTGAACCTGTGAGTCTCTGCACGGCACATGACTGTGAGTGGGACATACATCTGGACACTTTAGTTAATTTATCTCATTGCAACATGTTGAACAATCCCGTTTTTGCACGGGATTGTTCAACATGTTGCCCCTCGATGGAGCAATATGGATAATTGGAGGGTAAACACACACTGTAGCTGGACGGACGGCTGTGTAAAGCTGCTCTGCTCTGTTCACGTGGAACATTAACATCTGCGGGAGATTAATATTTCATGTAAACACCCGGTAAATTACTTTCAAATAACAGTAAAACTAGCAATATGTCCACTTCCGCTAGCACGGAAGTACAGACGGAAGCTAACCATCCGTGTGTAAATGACCACTCAGTAAAGCCAACTTGCTAATTATTATTATTATTAATATTATAATCAATAATAATAATAATAAATACAATAAAAGTACTTCATTATCATTTATGGATATTATAAATTAAGATAGAATGTCGACTTGAACTGAATCTGCTCAGTTATACACCACTAAAATCAAAGCAAGATTTTAGTAAATGTTCTGTGTTTTAAAGAGTTTTAAAAAGTACTAATTTTATTGCTCGTAAGTTTTAATGTCAGGTGATACAGGATGATGCTAACACAAAAATTAGACTTTGGTGAAAAATTTAAATGCAGAAATACTGATTTGTTCTTAAGACGTCATTATAATTATAATGGCTACTATTGAAAATGAACATTAGCTGAAGTCATTACACTGTGTTACAATAATTCACTGCAAAATATTTAAATGAATGAAAATATCCATTTGAATACATAGATTTTAACTGCATTTTATATATTTATATATGCATATTACATTTATGAGAGTAAAGGTAAATAAATAAAAACAATTTAAAGTGTTAGCTTTATTTTATCTGTTTTGTTTGTTTTTTTTGTTCTCCCTGTGAAATTCAAATCAAATTCTACTCAGATCATCTTCTTATGTGAAGTCAGAAGCCAATACAGGAGGATTCTTAACCACTTTACAACATCCTCTGTTCTGGAGGGGGTCCAAGAAAAGGCATCAGGACCTGCTTGGCTCCACTCATTTAAAGAGCTGATAAACTCCCTTCTGCTCAAGCCAGTTTGCAGTTTGGACTGGAAAGGTGCCAGTCAGTGTGTGTGTGTGTGTGTGTGTGTGTGTGTGTGTGCAGGGTCCAGACTGAACTGAATAAATTGTGCAGGCATCCACAAATCTGGTCCATAATCCAAAAGATCCGTTTGTAGCAATTCATTTATTCCTTGTGAAGAATTAGTCAGATATATGGCTTAGTATAATTTTTTTTAACTTTTTGATTGATGTGAAACTATCTAGAGTTTTATGTCAGGATGGAAAAAAATACATGTTGTTTTTGACTGTTGGAATTGTTTTCCTTCATTTAATCCTAAATGAAGTAAATATACTGTTTGGATTTAAAAAATTGCATCAAGATTTAGAAGAAGTTTGTATTGTTGTTTTTCGTGAATTGGTGTTAGCACATAAAAGAAATCCCATGTTCCCTGTGGGAGCCCGGAACAGGAGCCTTAGTCCTGCACAGATTTGATCTGCTGCACTTTGCTGCAGTAGGAGAAATGTTCCCATAGATGTTTATCAGTGAAAGGACTCGGGGCCCCCTCAGCCTATGGTAAACCAGATGGACCTGCAGGCCAACGTGACTCACGTCTCTGCAGCCAAATGGCATTGGCTCTTGCCACTCCACTGAAAAGATAAGGTGCGTTCGGGAAATGTTTGTTTCTGTGTTTAGTCACATTTAATGGCAACACAAAGTTATCTTGAAAACCATAATGAATGGCCATTAGGACTACAAAGACTTCTAAATGGTGCGCGTTCAAGGGCATATTTTAGTGTCATATCAAAATTACAACTCGAGTAAACCAATTTTCTCCACACAGGAATAAACACAGACTCAAGTGAACCGCAGAGATCAAGCTGGAGGAATATCACAAAGTGTTTTCCCAACTGCAGCAGACTTCTCCAGCAATTAACTGCGCTTGCCTTTGAATGGTGAAGGAAATAGCTTCCCTTGCTGTTAAATGTCACCAGAAGCGCCTGCAGCATCAAGTGACCACTTTGTTTTTTTGTTTAGTGTGTTTAAAGCCCCTTCAGTGACAGCCACGGTGATCAGAGGGAGCCCTTGTTTGGGTCAGTGCCTAAAGGCCATGCAGACAATGTCTGTAGTCTGGACCACAGGGTTCAAACTCTTTTTCTTTACAAGAAAAATTACATTTGATTTAAAAACTAAATTATAAAATTGACAATGTAATAAATCTCTGGCCACAAATCTACAAAACGTTTTTTTAAACAAAGTAAAACATTTTCATATAAATAGCTAAGGATCAAAAATTATATCTGGGCTCATGAATACTGTTTAGAGAAATGAGCAAAAACAAACGGGAAAATGATGAGAGCAGCCAAGTGAAGAGAGAAAAGCAATGATAGGAGTTAACATTTAGCTAAGATTTCAAAATGCATGAAATAAATTGGACTCTAATTGAGATAACTTTAAAAATGAGATTAAAAAAATAACTTTTTAATTGAACATTAGAAATGTCAGAAGGGATATTAGCCGAATATATGGCATAATCTAAGTGCAAAATAAATTTACTATTTATTCCCAAAATTAGTCAAAATTAGGCAAGATAGCTTCATAAAGCTAGCTAGAGACTGCTAAAAATAGGGGGACAATATCAGACCAAATATCCAAAACAAGATGGCCAAAAACTGCAACAAAAATAGCTTCAAGTTGACAAAACAGGTTATTGGACACCCGTTAACTGTGACCCAAAATTATAGTGAGACAAAATGGATAAACAAAAATTATCACAAAATAGCTGAAAGCTACTTGATACCATCCCAAATTAGCCAACAACATTTACATCTTAATTTAACAAAGTCAAGAATTAGACAAATATTTAGAAAAAGTAAGGCCGACAAAACAATAACTCAAGCTATTCTAATTAATACTTCAACATCAGCCAAAATGGTAAAAGTCTCCAAACAATTTGAATAAGCACAGACAAATATAAAACAAATTTTAAGGCAGGTTTCAGGAAAGTAAAAAAATTATAAATCATTTATTTGTTTTTCTGAAAATAGTAGA